CACAGCCCCCGAAATGATTATAATGATGTATACACAGAGAGTCCCTAGCTAAACCTGGCCCTCATTCCCCTCGCAGTGCCTGTCCGAGAGGAGTCCAACCGTGACGGAATTCGTGCACCACGCCATGGAGGTGGTGATGCCCAACGAGTGCCTGGACCGGCGGCGGCAGCACGACGACGAGCTGGACGAGCTGGCGGCCGCAGGGAAGGACCCGCACCACGAGATCCCCGTCTTCATCGCCACCCTCGCCATCCCGACCATCACCTGCCCGCTGCACGTGTTCGAGCCGCGCTACCGCCTCATGATCCGGCGCTGCATGGAGTCGGGCACGCGGGAGTTTGGCATGTGCATGCCCATGGAGACGGCGGAGAATGGGTACGTCCTCGATGGGGTTGTCATGTGGCTTTAGGACGAATTCTTATATATGTAGTGTTGTTGTTTGTCATTAAAAAAAAATCTAATCTGTGTCTCTTTTCTTCGACAGCTATGCCGATTATGGCACCATCTTGGAAATCCGGGACGTAGAGTACACGCCTGACGGACGTGCCATTGTCAACACCGTCGGGTCCAGACGGTTCAAGATCGTCAGTAAAAGTGCTAGAGACGGGTACAACACAGCAGCCGTCGAATTCCTCGAGGTGGGCATTAAACGTCTGCTAAATGAACTATAAGTGCAAATTAGCTTGTGTCATATGGTCACGCAGTCAATTTCCATACATTACTAATTTAATAATTAACATCCATTTGCTTTACGTTATCACACATATCTTTAATTTACAATTCTCCAGGACAACGCAATTCCTACGGCGAAGCTCGGAGAATCTCGGCAGCTGCACGACACGGTGCACACCCTTGCGTCCCGCTGGTTCGAGTCCATTGAGCCCATGACCAAAAGACGGATTCTCAGTCACTATGGTCACATGCCGTCCGTCGAGGGAGAGTACTGGACGCTCTCCAACGGCCCCGCCTGGATGTGGTGGATCGTGGCCATCCTCCCCCTCGACCCCCGAATCCAGGTAGGTAGTGTGGCTTGGCGACGCATCTCAACGGCCTTGTTCACTGTTCTGGAATCATGCCTCCCAGAGCTCATATGCCATGATCAATTTTGAACGCCAGCAATGCATTTTCATTCAAAGACATGGACTGACATTATTTTCTCTTTAAAGACAAGGTGCACTAATATAATTTTCTACTTAAGGACAAAATGAACTTACATAATGCTCTTTCTCTGCCCCCTCCAGTTGTCCATCCTTCGGGAAACGTCCCTCCTGCGACGGCTAGAAGTCCTGCACCGGATCCTGCGCTGCGTGATGGCCCAGCAGCGGTCGCGGCAGAACGGGGCCGCCCCACAGTGACTGACAGACTTCCTCGTTGATGTAGCCTCTAGTCCAGTCTTAAAGTATTGCTACATTCTTCTACTCGGAGCCCTGATCTTCTTACTGTTGAATTACATGTGCTTTATATTTGTCTAGTTCAGATCAAAACTGTGTTTTACGTGGAGAAGACGATGATCTCTTGATTATTTCATTAAGCGAAGCCAAAACGGAGAGAGTGTACAGTGCTTGAGTGAAGTACAATGAATTGAAAGATTTTTTACGGTGAGGTAGAAGACGTTTTCAGTAGAAAAGCAACTTCTGTGCATCTTCCCAAGGCGCGTGAAAGCAAGCAAGCAAGCACAGGCACCAGGTTGCTTCTTAGGTCCATCATCCTTCTTGTTGTTTAGAGGATGTGGAAAACCATTGATTTATTTATTATCCAGTGAAGATGTTACAAAGGGACACATCCGTGACACAACTCTCGCGTTCAAATAGTTTTTTTCTATATTTTTTGCAACATTTGCAGTTTTATTGCATTCTGTGGTGTCTCCAGTCTTTACGGAGAAGACCACTCTAAAGCTTAATATTGTTTCTGTTACAAAAGCCAAATGACCAAGTACAGCTTTCTCTTCTCACCTGGCATCTTATTTATTTTATTTCCTGGCATTTTGGACTTTGTAAAAGAATGACTGTGAAACCTCGTCTTTCATAAAGATAAACGACAGGTTACAAAACGCTTTCATTAGACCACGATGGACAATTAGAGGCAGACGGGAAAGGAGTGGGTGTATTTAGAAATAACTGCAGAATTTCTCATTGTAGTTACACTTCTTAAGAAAAAAAATATCTTGTTCGAATTAGATAAAGAAAAAAAAACACTGGGACCATAAATAAAGAAAAAGAAAATGAAAAAAAAAAGAAAAAATACTATAAATGAATAAATAAAAAGTTCATTTCTTTATGAATCACAAAGGTTTCACAGTATAGGGAAAGAGGGTTTTACTGCAGGGATTTAGTACCATTTTCTCATTTCAAAGTGGGTAGAAAATGTCTTCATTGTTTTCATTATTACTGTTTCCATAATTCTTGTTGTTAACGTCTTCTATCACATGAAGGTAATAATGGGGAGAGTTTGCTGGATCTCCTCATGTCACCAAACAGTATTGTTACGAAAGCCGCTGCAC